TGTTGCTCAGGGTGGATACTGAAGGAGGCCGGCTAGTGCTGTGTTGATAGATGTCACTTGGAGAGAGAACAGAAACCATATATTGGCTCATCAAGACCTGACTCCCATGCTTCTGGAAGGAGGGCCTCTCAGAGTAATGCTCACATGCAATGAGCTATTGAAAATCTTGACATTTTCAAAACAGTGCAAGCTTGGAAGACTACTTCAGTAAGATTCTCAGCCCCCTTAGGAAATGCCACATGAATGACGGTGGCACTTTGCACTAAATGAGCAGTTTTGTAAAAGTGTCAAGTAAAATAAAAGGGAGCTTAAGAAATGTTGAGAGAATGTGGAGATGTTGTTTCAACTCTTGGTTGCTGCCTTGGCTCTGCAACCCTGATGGGAGCTAAGGATGGGGACGTGGTTTCTTGCATTCTCGGAGTTTCAGTGACTGATTTTGTGACCAAGCGAGGGGCATTATTAGGTGACCCAGAATGCTTGGTTTTCTTGGGAGTTAGAACAAAGGTAGTAGGTACCTTCACAAGCCTGGAGGCAGTGCTGCGCTTGGCTTCAGGCCTGCAGGGTGCCTCTCGTATGGTTTCCTGGGAGCTGCACCGAGGAGCCAGAAGGTCCAGAGTGGCCAGTGCTGCCGAGCTTACCACCCTGATAAAGTCCCTCTTTAGGCTTTGAGGCCGGATGTTTTTCTTACATGTTTAAGCTCTTTCCTCTCCCCTTTATAGCATGGGCCAGATAGGAGCGAGTGCTGATGAAGTAGATTTATCACTCTCCCAGCACCAATACCACCACCACTGTCAGAAGACCAGATTTACCAGGGCCCTCTGACCTCCACTCTTGAGCACTATTCACGTAACTCCAGAACTTTTTGCCATGCCAAAAAAAAACTGCCATGCTAAGTAATTGGAGCCTTTATGTTTAAGAAACCAGAGTCATTGCTCACATTATAGTCAAAATCTATATGACTGGGAAATTAATCTTGCAAAAATGTTGAAAGGAACTGTAGGACCCATTTATGTGCTGACCAGCCCTGTCTCTGCTCACAGGTGGGCTCTTCCTCATCCTGAGCTCAGATCCGTCCTGGGCTCTCCCTGGTCCCCACTGTGTTTGCTGTTGGACTTCTTTAGGGCCCAACCCAAGTCCTTCCCTGCGCTGGGCTGGTGAAGACACGCTGACCTACATGGATGGTTACCCATGACCTGCCTGCATGGGGATCCTCCGTCCCTGGCACCTTCCTTCTGTGCTCTCTGCTCCTCTCCCTGTCAGACTGGCTGCCATTCAGCTCAGATGGGCTGTTCCTGGGAAGACGAGCAGGGCCTGAGGATAAAGGCTAGGTTGTGTTTTACCTCATTTGCCGAGTTGCTCTTGTACGGAAGAGAAAAAGTTTCTGTGTCCCCTTGAAACCAGCCACCTGGCTCCCAGCCAGGCCATCCCCATCACTACTAAGGAGCAAGGTGGCTATTCAGGTTTAAGAACAGGTATTTCAGGGGACTTGTCTGTGCCTGCTCAATGTGTCTTGAGACAGGGTGACAGGACATGGGATTCTCCATGGGTTTTAGAAAGTCAGGAAATGGAGCAGGTGAGGATGGGGCGTTTTTGGTCTAAGGGGTTGGGACAGCAGGTCGTCACAGGACTTTATGATCTCCAAAGGAGTGTGGAAAGCCAGCATGTAGTGGGCAGACTTCACCTGGTGAGGGCAAGCCTGGAGTAGTAGCAAGAGGTCAGAGGGTGGTGGTGCGTGAGAACACAGGGCTTACTGCCATTGGGCAAGCAGCTACCCTTCCTGTGTCTCACGTTTCTCACCTGTGGCTCAGCAGGACAAAACATAGCCTGCCGCACTACAGGATATTGGGGAAGATTAAATGAAAGAGCCCAAGGACCTAACTCATCTTCCTTTGCTTAAAAAGTACTGAACCACAAGCTCTGCCATTAGTAGTCTGGGCAAGTTTGATCAGAAATGTTAAGACCTCAGTATTCAGGAGGCATTACCGTGGTTCATCTCTTTTCTCAATATATGAGCCTTTTTTTTCTAAATTTAGTGTTCCAATAACATCCCATAACCCGGATCCTCAGTTTTTTTTATGTGCAACATGGAGATAAAAATATCTGCCCTGCCTATCTCAGTGGGTACTTGGGAGGGTCAAATCTGATGATGAATGTGACCACACTTAAAGCTCTGTGTCAATGCAAGAAATGCTGGTGATGATGTTGTGGATGATAACTTCTTTGGCAGAAGGGCAGCATCCATATTAGGGAAGAAAGGCTGGGAAGCTGCCTTTAGGTCTGATCAAATGACAGCTATATTTTTGTCCACTTATAAAAACTGTTTTCTTCTAGTGTTAGAATAATAAAGATTCATCTTGGTGCCTATACCTTTCATCTCAGGATTCATGTACCCAAGACTCCGGGCTTATTTAAACTGGTACAAGTTGAGTATGGGGAGCCCCGAATTGCTATTAAAGTTGGGTAGTGTATGTGAAGTGGTCGCTGGATGCTAGATGCTGCTCCAGGCACATAGAAGATGCACTCTTTGCCTGCATCTGCCAGAGACCCACCATGCTGACTTTGTGATAGGACCAAAGCTGTTTGGGGACTGCTGAGTGCCACATAGATGTCATTCAAAACTTTGTCCCTGGCACACAGAGATGGTGGGAGGCGGGGAGGGAGAAGGAGTAGCAGTGGCCAGTGGCTGGTGCTGTTTTTCTGATGCTTTGTCTTTAGGGATTTCTGCTCATGACCAGGAAGCTGTCAGCCAGCCAGACTCCTAAGGGAAGGTGGTCACAGGTTATCATGTAGAGGGCATAACATTTGGAAATAGAAGACCTGGATTCATGTCTCAGTCTTATCACTTGTTGACGAAGTTACTTTGAGCGAGTCACTGAAGCTCTCTGAGCCATTTCTTCATTCATAAAATGAGTGTCAGTGGTGTTAATAACAAAGATGCATAAGAAAAGGCTTTGTAGACTGTAGAGCCCTTGAGGGATTATAGTGGACAGTGGTGGTGTTTTATTGTTATTACCATTATGAGCATTGTATTTTTTTTCTCCAGGTGGAAATGAAGCAGCCTTAGATTAGAGTTTGTGTTCTCAAATTTCTGGTGAAGGGAGATGACTCTCTAAAAGAAGCTGGGTATACGTAAAGCCTAGCCCTTCAACATGGGGCAAGGGTTTCTGAGACAGGTGTTAAGGGGACCTACTTCTTGTCCTTGTCTAGATGCTCATGCCTTAACTTTGCTTTTTTGGGGAAGATCAGGCTGCTGCCTGCCAGATGAGGTCATAGAATTCCAAGGGCTTGCCTGGAACTGGGAGCTAGGAATTTGGAGGCTGGCAGCGATTAGAGAGGGGAAGGGGAGGGTACACAGTCTCAGGGCCAGGGAGGAGCCTGGCCTGATGGCCCTGCCCCCCTCACATGTACCTTACCAGGGTTTAGGCTGCTCTAACCTCAGTGCCTGCTTATCCCAAACACCAGAACACAGGACTCTCTCACCAGGCCTGAGTAGGAAATACTCTGTAGGCCTAGAGACTTTTTCTTTGTTAACCTTTATTCAGTCCTCATTTAAACCTACCAATCTCTGGGGTGGCTCAGTGCTCAATCGGGAGATGGGGCAAATATCTTAACACTACCACACTAAGATGACATATTGACTCTGATGGTGAAAGCATTTTAACTGTCTGTATTAGGAACCTTAAAAAATGGCCATGCCCTTTGATTGAGTAATTTTACCTGTGGGACTTTAACCCAAGGAAATAATTTGAATTCCAGAAAAAGCCTATACTCAAAAGTGTATTGATTATAATAGAGGGGAGGAAGTGGGGAGTAAAATGTTCAGCATTAGAAGAAAGCAAATCTTTCTAGGATGTAAGCCCCACAGGGTGAGGACTTTTTGTTCCCTCTGTATCTGCAGCACTTAAAGCAGTGCCTGTCCTGGATGCCACTAAACACAATTTTGAATGGTTTTATGAAAAAAAATTTATATCCATATGGTAAGACTATTCTGCAGCTATTTCAAGTGAAGTCCTAATGACAGGACATTTCCTATGTTAATAGGATGTGAAAAAAGCAGGATACATATTTCTAAATACAGTAAAAATTACATTTTTTTTTTAAGATGGGAGAAAAAAAAAGGAAGAAGATACCCAGGTAGCTCTTAAATGATGAGATCATGGTGACTTTTTTTCTTTCTATATATTTGCTGAAATTTCTAAAATGACTGAGTTTATGATTGGGAAAAACATTTAACAATCGTATTCTTTGAAACAGAAGGAGGTTAGGTTAGTTTATTCCTGGAGCAAAGCAGCAGCCTTTAGAGCCAGCGCCTCCTCCTTTTCAAAGACCCAGGCAGCCTTTGTGAATGCATGGAGCACCTACACACTGTGGTTGTGTCTGTCAGCTCGGCAGCGGGAGCTGATCGCTCCGGACTTCAAAAGGGTGATAGAAACCTCACAGTGTTTAGATTGTGCAGGTCATATTGCAGAGGCATGCCCATACATTTATATCCCATCACCGAAGTGAAGACATTTTGTAGTGGGGAGAAGAATTTTAAGAAGATAGATTGTTCTGGGTGGGTGGTTAATTCTTAGCATTCTTTCCCTGGTTCATGGTTTTTAGAAGCTGTTGAAAGTACCGTCTGCTTTCCTTCATTCTTGTTTTGGCTCATGCCATCTTAAAGTAACTTCTTCCTGAGCGGTTTGGTTTGTTAGAGTAGGTGCTCTGTGGATGTCCCTCAGAGATGCAGTGTTCTCTTGGAGCCAAGACTTCCCGAGAATTAAAATCCCCACGTCGTAGGTGCACTTTTGGCATCTGAGCTGAAGTTCTTGGGGTTTTTTTTTTTTTTTTAATGCAGCTGGGTTCCAACAGATGAAGTGCCTCTCAGAGGAAAGGCTCCGCTTTCTGACCCGGGAGGAATCTGTAATGATCAGGAGTCTGCAGACAGTGCTGTTGTTGTGTCTGTAATCCTTCCCATTCACAGGACACATCTCATTCATTATCTCTTTCTTTCTCTTTAGCCATAACCAGCAGACCACAGCGTTCAGGCATCCTGTGAGTAGGCAGTTTTCTCCAGAAAATAGCGAATTTATTCTTCAAGAAGAGTAAGTACTTGTATATGTTCTCTTTTCCAACCAGAGTCTGGGAGCTTAAAGGCATTTGCTCAAAACAGAGTTTAGTGGATTATTTTCTGTCTCAGATGGAGGGGCTTGGGGTGGGTTAGTTGAGTCGAGATGAAATGGGAGGAGTTTGTTTTTCACTCTCGAAGCAGGGAGGTGATACGGGGACATGCTGTGATTAGTATTGCTAGAGCTTCTGAAAGCCTTTCTTTCCCCTGAACAAACCCTGTCCCCTCCAGCATCATCTCACACAATAGCTGTGCTCTGAGAGGACCCAGTCATCTGCTATGAAAGTACCTTAAGTGTAGCCTCAGACCCAGTTGAATTAGTCCCTGAGGAAGCCTCCATGGAGAGTCCAAAGCCAGGCCTTAGAAGAGAGGAGGCCTGGTCACACCCATTGTCCCTAAACATTTTATATTTTTCCTGCTTTTCCTAAAACTGGTGCCTTCTTGCTCTTCAGCCTCATTTCAGCAGGGCCTCTGGGGTGCTCAGAGGCAGGTTCCTCCACCCAGGGCTTGTCTACTTAAAATGCATGTGCAGCCCAAGCAGGGAGTGTTCTCCAAAAATGAAGGCAAAGAATCATGTGCAAGTGACTCTGTTCTGCTCATCTGAGACAGTTTAAAGAAAACAATTCTGTTTGAGAAATTAATAGAGATGTGGGCTTAGGTTTTTTTCCCCCCTGCGAATCATTTTTCTGTGCCATCATCTAGACCAAACTTGATATTAAAATAAATTATTGGTACTTATATTTTTACAGCATTTCCCACCCTCAGTACTTAGACCTTTAAACTTTCTATTATGGAAAATTTCAAACATATACAAAAGTAGAAGATACGATAATAAATCCAATGTATTCATCACACATCTTCAACAGTTTTCAAAACATGGCTGGTATTATTTCGTCTATTCCCTCCACCTCCCCCCTGGATTATTTTGAAGCAAATTTCAAACATATCATTTCATCTCTATCATATTTGCAGCTTAGAATCATCCTGCAGAACTTTAAATAGTAGATATCAATAATTATGATAATACTGACATTCTTTGTGTGTTTACTCTGCACTGGGGATTTTACATACATGCCTCTTTTAATGCAATAATCCTGAGAGGTAGACCATCATCACCATGTTAGAGATGAAGGCACTGTGACACTAAGAAGTAAAGTCACCTGCGCAAGTTGCATGACAACAAGTAGGGTCATTTTTCCCTCTAAATCCCATCTCCTGGATGACACAAGGGGTGCTTGCCTGTCTCAGGATATCATTCACGCTTGATCTCTTTAGTCAGGTCTAGCCCTTGCCCTGGTCACAGGCTGCTTGCTATATTATTTTGATGCTGGTGGTCCCTGGGAGATGATGGCCTGATTGTGGGGTTAGGGGTCTGACTTTGAAGGCATTAATACTAATAGAGAGAGAGTGGATGGAAGGTAAAGAGTGTCTTGTCTCTTACATTGAGAAAGAACTGTTGTGTAAAGACAGCCAGAGTGTGGATTCCCTGAATTCCAACTTGGCATGAGTTTGTTTATAGAATCCTGAAGGTCAGAAACTCTTGGGAGGTCATTGAGTTCACCCCCTTCCTTGGGCATCCTGGAGAAATGGGCGCCTGTCATTGTTAAAGGTTTGGTCGGAGAATCAGAACATGTAGCTTGGCAAGTTGCCAGCTTTAATAAACATGTCTAGGCAGATGCAGACTTTGTATCAGTAAACACCTCTGACACACATTCCGCCTTTTCCTTACCTTTATCAGAAGACTTTGTCCTCTGCCCACTTCTGAGAAGGTAGGCTTTGGTCCTACCAAATGTCTCTGTAGCTAATCTCAATTCCATCCAGTTTCCAAGGAAAAGGTATTCCTTCTTTTCAAGGGTCATTTTTCCCTCTAAATCCCATCTCCTGGATGACACAAGGGGTGCTTGCCTGTCTCAGGTGATGGGTACTGCATTCCATGAAGCATGGAATGTGCTTTAGGCATTAAGAGGAAGAGAGGATTCCTTTGAAGTGAGGTGGTGATTCCTGACTTACCCATTAAAGGCTTGTTAAGAGCCTCCATTGCATTAGGGGCTGTGCCAGACTCTGCAGTTACAGCAACAGGCGAGACCAATGTGGTCTTGTCTCTGAAGAGCTTATGGCTGAGTAGGAAAGATAAATAATTAAACAAGAGATCACAAATGGGATAAATGATCATGACAGAGGAAACATAGGGTTCAGTGGGAGTCTGTTAAAGAGGGCTCTAACCTGGTGTAGGATCATGGAAGTCCGCTGCATCCTGGGAAGGGAGGTTTAAATTGAGACTTTTCCTCAAAAGGTAAGCAACCTGAAGAAAGGTAATAGAGCATGGGGGAGCCATACCAGGATCCACACCAGTTAGAGTGAAGAGTGAAGAGCACTGAATGGATTCTGGAGATATGCAGGAGGCAAAATTGACATGACTTGGTGATCAATTGGCTGTGATGGGGATGAAAGAGAGGGAAGACTTTCTTCAAGTGTCTGGCCCTGAAGTGGAGGAAGGGGGCGGATTTAGATAAGTGAAGATAAGTGTGCACGTGTGTGAAGGTCGTTCACAGCTGAGGGAAGTGTGCCAGCCTTGGTGAGGTCTGAGGATGAGAAGACCGACTTGTGGAGGTCTGCAAAGGGGAGGAAGGGGAGTGTGCAGATAAGGCTGGAGAGGGAGGTTGCAGCCAATTAATCTAAATTGCTTCCTCCTGAAATACCTCCGCGTTTACCTTCTGGTGGAGCTCTGGAGGGTGAGGCATGATTTCCCCTCACAGAAACCATTATTTTAAAATGTGCCAAGGAATAAGGTTCCTGTTTTGTTTCCTGAGAGGAGCTTAATTTTATTGTGTAATGTGTTATTGTGAGGGAAAAAGGCTGGGCTGACCATTTGTGCCCTTTACACATGAGTTCTCTGATTAATGAGTTGAGTGGAAAAAGGAAAACTGGCTCTTGTCCTTCTCCAGAGAGGATCTTTTAAGGCCTCTTTGACTCCTCTTGCCAGAGCCGAGCCTCCACCTCAGTTTCTTGGAGTGAGTCCTTTAAGAGTGGTTCTCAAAGTGTGGACTCTCAGCCAGGATCAGATTCTCAAGCCTGACCCCAAACCTATACTGCATCAGAGATTTTGAAGGCAGGGCCCTGTAATCTGTGTGTTAATAAGCCTTCAGGTGATTCGATCCAGGTAGAAGTTTGAAAATCACTGATTTAGACGACTTGCTGGTCCTATCACTCCTCAATTACTCCTAGGTTCTTCCATTCATCCTCAAGTCTCCTCCAGATACCATCATTCTCTGGGCTGTAGTGACAGTCTTAGATGGATTTTAGTTAAACAATCCTGGGTTCCTTCTCCAGTAGGAGGGAAAACAAAAAGGTCTCCGTGGTGGCTTCCTTTAGAGCATTACCGATGAGAGCAGTGACACATCTTTGTTGGTAGGTGGGACTTACCTGAGTTGCTTGGTGTAATCGGTACACACCCGCCAAGAGATGGCTTCCCTCCTTACAGCTTAGAAGCGTGGAGGAAGAGAAATAACTGAAAGCAGGATAGGCTAGGGTTGCTTTGTAACGACAACAAACAAAATCCCAGCGAGTTAAAATAACTAAGGCTTATTTCTCACTTTCAGTCCATGTCCATCCCACGTTGCCTGAGGGGTTCTGCTCTGTCACTGTTGCTGAGGAGGCTCGATCTCTGTGTTTCAGTGATTGCCAGAGCCAAGAAAAAGGGAATTTGGTGAACTGTGCACATGCTCTTTCACTCACATTTCATTGGCTAAAGCCAGTCACATGACCACTCCTAACGTGAGGCGCAGGGAAGTGCATTTCTGTGGTGGACCTGGAAAGAGAATTAGAAATCCTTGTTGGTCAACACTAATGACTACATTTAATAACCCACAGTTCAGATTTACTAAGGGAAGCAGGACCTTCTGAGTCTGTCACTGACAAGCTGCTTTTGTTGCTCTGACTAGAGTGTGTGTTTCTCATTTCACCTTTTCTGTTATGCTACCTAGTTCTTTGTCAGAACCACTAAGGCAGGTGGATATCAGTCAGTGGGTCCTGCAGCCTTGTCCCCCAGGGAACCTATATGCCTAAGTCAGTAGGCATGTGGAAATCCCTCTTAGAAGAGCTAGTATAAACTAAGGCTGCATTAATAAAAGTACATTCTGTAGAGAAAGAGAGTAGTTCTGATATACATGGTATTTGTGGACTACTTCATTCATTTGGCCCAAGTTTATGGAGCACCAAGGACATACCAAGCCCAAAACATGATACTAAATTTCAGGAAGGATGTTGAGCAATTGAGATTTCCCTGGGTAGGGGACCATTATGGTGTGTGGTCTGGAAACCCTGTGCTGTGACCTATATAATGTTTAGTCTGCAGGAGATAAGATGAAGGAAGTTGTGGCATAAGTCAGTCTTCAAGAACAGCTGGCAGGTGGAAATGGGGGTACATTTATCACATGGCTGCCTAAGGCAGGCATCAGATCAATGAGAATAAGTTGCAGGCAAATTTCATCTCAGGCCATAATTTTCTAGGAAAGAGATTTCTCAGCATCTCTTGTTTTAGCATCGAGATTTTTATCTTTAACATTAAATGAAGTAGTCTACTTCCTAGAATAAGAGTTGGCTTTTTCCATTAATAAAAATATTATTTTTATACATCACTTAGAGCCTTTACTCTTTGTTATCAAGCACTTTTCTAATTGCTATATACATGCTAATTTAATTTTCACAACAGTTTCCTATGATGAAGATGCCACTATTATCATGGATACCGAAGCATAGAGAGGTTAACAGTCTTGCCAAAAGTCACACAGCTAGTAAGTGGCAGTTAGGATTTGAATAGAGGTAGTCTGTTCCCTGTTGCTGTGCCTCTAATGCTGTACTATACTGCCTCCTGTTGCAGTGGTCTTCGAGACAATTCCCTTCCTTGGCTGTCCTCCAGCATTAATGTACTGACTAAGTAATCTGCCGCTTAGAGATTTTAATTGTAATTATATTTGC